GTCAGTGAACCGCTATGGCTGATCACTAAAGCATGGCAATGCCGCCACCTAGTGTTTTTAGGATTGAAACACACAAAAATGATCTCCACTGTATTTGAAGATATGAAGGTTCATAATTTGGACTGCTGAACACAAAATCCACCAAAATAAAACATGTTTCTACAAAAAGAGAAAGTGTTTTTTTTTTTTTTTTTTTTAAAAGGGAGCAAATACAAGATTTAACAGACCATTTAGAATTGGACTGTAAGTATATTTTTCTGTTTTTTCCGACTTTGCACCAATGAAAATGTTACAAACTTCTGTGGACTTAACTTCTAAAGACCACGATGGAGGGTAGTGATGGGGTCATGCAGTGAAACTGTAGAATTTACAGACGATTCATTCAAGGGTCTGAGAGTCAAGCTCATGAACTTTGCAAACATGCGTAATCAGTCACTAACTATGATTACACTGTGGCTATTTCCTCAGACGTGCTGAGGGAGAGAAGCTCATAATGGGGTATTTTTGGCTTGTTGGCTGGAAACACAATCTGTCCATTTATGATTAATCCACTCCTTCCTGAGTGATCAGGATGTGAACATTTCTACCTGCTGCTGGTACTAAACAGTCACATTACCTGAAGATTTTGTGCCTTTAGCCGGTTAGCAGTCCATTCAAGCATTCTCAAATGTGTGGTTGTTCATGTTTGAAATTATAATACAGGTCACTCCAAACATAATATCAAATTATGGTGTCCTTGTCTCTAAAATATATTTGATTCAAACAATATATGTATAATATATTTGGGCCATGCCCCCGGTAGAAATATGGCTCCTCTTAAATCCTAAATTTTGATTGGCTCTCAGCGGTGGGATTTGCATTAAAATTAGCTGTTTGAGCTGTGTTGAGCTTTATTTGAATTTCCTTTTGTTAATGCTTTAAACAGTTCTGGACATGCATCTTCCCGTTAAAGTCTGTAAGACTAAAGCCAATAGGAAAAGAAGAAGAAAAATGCACAGTAATATTTACGCTTGTGGATAGATTAAAGTCACAGTGACGACTGGTCGATAAACAGGCCTGACACAGCTCTTAAGTTAGTTAAAGTGGATGTTATCAGGGCTGATAAAATATCTCTTTTTTGGTTGTAATTATAAAAACTTGACAGATGGAGTGACATACTTACCAATCTAGATTCTGACCAGTAAATACAGCTAAGAGTTACTATTTTTCTACACACAGCAATTTTTAAATTCACATAAAAGATTTTTTTTCCTTCTACTTTAGCGTCTGAAATCTTCAACTGGAAATACTTAAACTACAGTGTTGAACTCAAGGCCATTCTTTAAGTCGTTGCGGTAAAAGTGATTCCTTACATAAACTGAACTTAACCTTTGATAGTGAAGTGTGAAATTCAGTCCGCACCAATCACTGTGACATTTGAAAACCGTCTCATAGCTTTCAAAAGACTGCTGGCATTCTCTGCTTCTCTCTTTCTGGGAGTTGATATGAGAGGAGTTAATCCAGCAGAGTCTGTGATTAGATCTGCGTCCCTAGCAACTGGCTGTTCTTCATAGCAACAGGCTATTCTTCACGGCATTGGCTGGATATAGAAGTGGCAGACGGTCTTATGGGCAGAACTAACCAGTCAGAATTGGGTAATTAACATAGCCCTGTGATATCATTTCTTTAACAGAAGCATTTTACTTTCCCAAAAAATAGCAGCTGAGTGGATTTTGGGAATAAGGAGTTTAGTTAAAGCATAATTGTTACAACACATGCAGGCACTACACTATTTGGAGCATAATAAGACCTGGACCAGCATGTCTCTGATCTTGTCATCAGAAATTTCAGGGCTTTTTCTGACAACCAAATAAGAGAGATGGCATAAAAAGACAGTAGTCCTTGTGACAATGTTCTCAGAGGAATTACAGAATTTGTTCATATTTGAAAGCTGAATAACAGGGTTTGTATTCAAGGGTCCAGTGAGTAATAATGTAAATATTTAGCAATATCTAGCTGTCAGGTTCCACACCAGTGAAGCAACGGCAGCCTTTAAGGACAAAAAGCGTATGTGATGTATGATCAATATGACCCTCAAATTGTCAGTATTTCACAGCAATAAAAAAACAAAAAACATCCATTAATACGACTTCTTTAATGCACAACAACCCTTCTTCTTTGTATTTAAACTTACTAGCCTGACGGCTCTGCGCTACACGGTAGAAACATGGCGGTGCAAAATGATGACCTTGATAGAAGGGGGCGTGCTCCTATATATGGCAAGCCGTTTGAGCATAAATTTGAATCTTGAACTTAAATTTTGCTTTAGCGTGTATGATGGAGGGCATATGACAGGTAGAATCTCATTGTGGATAGTGATGAAGACAATAAATATCATCTATGGATAATGAACACTTTTTAACAGTCACAAAAACCAACAGTCAGAGTGAGACAGAGAAGCAGATGGATAAGAGTTAATGTGCTGCAGTCGGGACCCCTGTGCGTGTGGAAACAGCTTAGCAAAAACAGAACCGCTTCACCAGGGGAGAAATAAATAGCTGGAAGAAATGTGGGACATGGTGAAATCTAAGATTTTGTCCAAATGGTTTAGGCCAATTTGGGGACGTGAGTTCTGTCAACAACTATGAAATGAAATTACTGTTCAGCCTGACAACAAGCAGCGATTGAACAATAGTTACCTAACTGTATTATTTTGTTAGGTCATAATTCCTTCATTCAGGATTTCTCTGGGACTTCTACAGAAGGCATCCAGGTCTCCCCCTGTTGCTCGTATTCCTTTTGGGGGGGATTATATTAGCCAATTGATACAATAAATAAAAGTTGCTTAAGTCTGGTATTAAGAGTTCATACTGAACATGCTTTTTTGCTTTGAACACATTTCAACAGCAAATTGCTTTCATGGCTCTGGCTGTGACTCCAGGTTTCCTTATTGACTGCCTGTGTGTGTGTGTGTGTGTGTGTGTGTGTGTGTGTGTGTGTGTGTGTGTGTGTGTGTGTGTGTGTGTGTGTGTGTGTGTGTGGGCGTGGCTTCCCCTCACCTGGCTGCTGATTCATCTCCAACCCAATGTCCGATAATCTCATCACAATGCAGTATAAGAACCCCGGCTCTTTATCCAATCATTGCCGGATTGTTCCGCCTGCTACAGAGGCAGTCACTCTCTTGCCTGCTTAGTGTAGCTTCTAGCAATGTTTTTCCATGTGCAGCTTCATTGACAATTGACTCCTGTGCCTAGATTACCAATGTGAAATCCATGTAGCCCTTTTTTCAACCATTAACACTCTACACTCTGCCTCTTGTTCTGCTTTTGGGTCAATTACAAGAGCATGAACACAACAGTTGATTCATGAAAATTTACAAGAACACAGGAAGTTATTTTTATGCTCAAAATAACCAGTGGGATGACACCAAGAACCATGGTTTTGAGAGTGTTCCCCATTGACAAGGTATGTCGATATAATTGATCAGAAAATAACTTAAATTGAAGTAAAATTTTGCTTAAACGTCCCTCCCATCCAAAAAGATCACTGCTCTCTATACTATTCACACATCAACCTTCTATTAATGTCTGCTCCACAAGTGGCTTCCTTTTAGATCCGGGCTATAACCAACCTTTGTCCTAAGATTAACATTAGAGCGTTAACCCCCTGTGGTGGTCTGGATCACTATGCTAATCACTCTTAACTGTCAAAGCTAATTAATTAAAGCACTTGCCTGCAAAGGTTATCAAGTAAAAACAATACCCAAAGGGTTTTATTTTGTCTTTTAGTTTCTGATACAGTTTTGAGGTTTGGGTATTACTGTTTACCCTTGAGTTCCCGAGAAACCTTAGGGAACCTCACTGGAAGATAATGCTATTACAAAGGCTGATCTTGGTGTGCACTGTCACAAAGGTCATGGGGCATGGAGTTGCGTCCTCTATTATCAGTTGCCTGATAAAACAAAGATGGGACAGAGAGGTGGACAGAGTCGTACTAGTTTGCGTCTAGCAAAGACAAACGGGTAATGAAGATACATGCAAATGTATAATATTCAAACTCCTCTTCGCCAAACTCAACGAAAGCTCCTATTTGAATACATCTGAAGACCTGAAGCACTTGTAACGCTGCTATGTAGCTCCCCTGAACTTGCATGTGACAAACCGGGGAAAAACTTTGAGAAAGAAACCTTTGTACTGCTTTGTGTGGAGAGTGTTAAGTCTATTCTTCTGGATTACTCCATTTAGGCAAAGGTCCTTTGTGAAAACTATTTTAATCTTTATACCTGTTGTTTAACAGGCAGTTTTTAGGACTGCTCATGTTTACCGGAGCTGACCCAAGAGGACTCAATCTTAGACAAAGATTCTTTGAAAAGAAACTCAAAAGAGAAGAAGCAGCAGCAGCAGGGAGTAACCAAAAGCACCTTTAATGTCTGGACATTTTCCAATTAGGCTGTGGCTCGCCAGCAGATCAAAGCTAGGATAATCCTTGGGCTGGATGGCGTGTCTACAAGAATATGGATGCAAATAAAGGAGTAACAACCAATCGAATGTCAGGTTGACAAACGAGCGTGCCAGTGTGGGTTACAGGGTGGAAAGACAGGGGTTTAGAAAAGAAGGAGATGAGGGTAAGAGGGAGATACGGAGGAGACACAGATTGAATCTGCTCTGAGTGTGGACTGGAGAGGGCAGAGGAGGAGGGGAGGTTTGCGGTTGGTGCACGGGTAAGTGACGTCAGCGGCTTGTTGGATGAGGTGCTGTGTCCTGCTGATTTTAATCCTTACTCATTAAGGAACAGAGAGAGCAAGTGCCTGTGCAAGCCCTCTGGGGAAGGAGAGAAAGTGACAGGAGAAGGAAAGAACACAAAACAATCATCCAGAGGAGATAAGTGGAGCTACTTTACGAGTTGAAGAAAGGAAGGGGGGAGGAATCAAGCATTTTATATATTTGCTTCTCAGCTTTAAGCGTGCGTTCCCTCATTACCCTTTCCCTTGTTTGTAATCTTTGAGAGTGGCCTGTTGAAGCATGCCCACAAACGGAATTAACAAGGCCCTGAAGCTGCAATTTGGTCTCATAAACTATGAGAACCGATACTTGACGGCTGAGGCCTTTGGCTTCAAGGTGAATGCTTCAGGCATCAGTATGAAGAAGAAACAGATCTGGACCTTAGAGCAGGACGAGCAAGACGGCCAGGTCGTGTTCCTCAGAAGCCACCTAGGACGGTACTTGGCCTCCGACAAAGATGGGAAGATGACCTGCGGGGCAGAGAAGCCTGACCCTGACTGCCGTTTCCTTATTGTGCCCCAATCTGATGGTCGCTGGGCCTTGCAATCAGAACCGTACCAGCGTTACTTTGGAGGCTCTGCTGACTACCTGTCCTGCTTTGCTCAAGTCATTGGGGAACAAGAGTTATGGGCTGTCCATTTGGCCCTACACCCACAGGCCAGTCTGCTCAGTGTGGCACGTAAGCGCTATGCCCATCTGTCTTCTTCAGATGGGGAGATCTCAGTGGACAGCAATATTCCCTGGGGGGTGGACTCCCTGGTTACTTTGGTATACCTCGATGGCAAGTACAGCCTGAAGACCTGCGATAGTCGTTTCCTCAGAAATGATGGCAAGCTGGTGAAGGAGAACACCAACACGACCAGCTTCACACTGGAGCTGAAGTCTGGGAAGCTGGCCTTTAAGGACTGTGAGGGGAAGTATCTGAGCCCCGTGGGGCCGACTGGAACACTGCGAGCTGGTCGATGCTCAAAGCCTGGAAAAGACGAGCTGTTTGATCTGGAGGAGAGTCATCCCCAAGTTGTTTTTCAAGCTGCCAACAAAAGATTTGTCTCAGTCAAGCAAGGTAATTAAGTCTTGAATGCAGGAATTCATTTTGTGTAATCACATTTCTTACTTATAAAAACAAGCAATGGTGACCGCAAAGTAGTATTAAAACAGGAGATTGAAAATCATTTCTCATAACAAGCAATTGCGGCCTTTGAGTAAGAATATTTGATTGATTTCAAAAAGTTGAATCAATCTAAAAGTACTCAAAGTACAAGTGTAGTCATGGAAACAAATGGGAATGAAAATAACATGAACATTCAGGCAGAGTGCTGCTGCAACGACTTTTGAAGGCTCCATACTGAGTTCACATTCCCGGGAAAAAAGAAATATGAATGTAAACATGTGTGTTTGCATAACTTTATAAGTAAGTGCTGAGAAACAATTTCCTCACATTGTTTGGGTATGTGGGAGTAAATAAGACTCTATTCAGATCCATCAGAAGTTAAGGTCACTAGATTTTGACCATGAAGTGAAAACCTCTGAGTGAATGGGAATAACATCTTTTTGCTTTATATTCTTGTCTTTTCCTAAGTGTTGGGTGTTACATGTTGAGTCATCCTTAGGTCTGGTGATGCAAAGCTGCAATCCTCTCAATTTAAGTCCTATATTACACAAACCCAACATCCTGTCTTCATGCACTTAATAGTTTTAAGGATTATGACAAGATATTAAGAAACAGAGTCATAGCTTCCTTGCATATTGTTTTATTAAGTTTAACTTTTTAGCCTAGCTGAGGTTCTAGCATTAGCACGTGTGCACTGCCTAAAGTGCATGACCTGTGTGTATTAAATGTTACATTGAAGCTGCATTTCCAGTATCATGAAAAGCATGTGACAGTTCCCAGACAGTAATACGAGTACATTGCCTTCCCTGGCGACATGCTGGAACCATAATGGTTGACAGACACACTGTGAGGTCATTGTGGTAATGGGCTTTGTCATTTCCACTGTGTGTCTATTGAAGCTTAAGCAAGGTGAAAATGAGTCCTGTGCAGACCTATGCCCCTTGGGTGTCGATTACCATCAGAGTATTTTAAGCCTGGCAGTTACTCCCTGATCAACCTTCGTCCAGTTTTTCACATGATGTCTACCTATGTGGCAGTAAGTTGGCAGCAAAGACCTACCAGACAGATCAGTTACAGGGGATCTTTTCAAATCTCTATAATGGGATCATCTCTTTTCTGTACAATTATACACACAAACATTGCGGAAAGATACGGGGGAATTTAATTGCTTTCCCTGTTCCTAAAACTTTGAATTTGATTTTAATGAATCAACCTCTTCAGCTGAAAGCTGGCATTACTATAGAATGTCTATGTTTTCAGATGTACTTAGGATTGTACTTAATATCATGCTTATGCATTACCAACATTTTAAAATGACAAAAGGTCAACATCAGGGAAATATTTATTCAACAACTTGGCTATTCATTGACAACATATGACAGAAATTCAATTTTTAGCAGCTATATTCTTCCTTGTGGCAGTTCCACGTTTTTCAAGGAACAAGGTATTGAAAGCTGCTTAGTGGGCCCTGCAGTGCAGATTTGCATTTCACCACTCAGGGAATTACAGCAAGCAAATGAACGGGAAGGGTGGAGCGGCGGCTGTGGGGGATTAGGGTTGTAACAGGCTTAAGAGAAAGGTTGAAGGATATTTTTGTGGCATCTAATTTGAACAACAGCAGACACAGTTCAGCTGTGTCTGTGTATTCTCCGCCACCTGACACAAACTCCAAAGACAGAATGCATGTGGATTAAGTGTGTGACTTTGGATAGGCTGAAAGTAAGGCAATCAGGTTTAGGGATGAAGAGGCTGAATTGGTAACTGGACAGAAGCTACACCAAAGCAAAATTTGACTACTGGTCAGTGTCTGGTTTACCTTCGCTGGGACTGTTGTTTCCCACATGCAAAAAAGATTACATAAAGTAAGCTGAGCACATGAAATGTGTTTAACAGCAGGGATTCTCCATACTGGGCACAGGGAAATCCAAAGCTGGTAGACGGAAACAAAGCTGATTAAATATTAAAGTGATCCTCAGCCCTAAATGCATTTTTGGGTGCCAAAACCCCCAGGAGTTTGCAACGTGAAACAAACTCCATTAAGGATGTGTTTTCATGGTAGTGAAGAAACAGTTTTCAGGACCAACAGGGTTGAGTCTTAGAAAGTTTCGAAAGATGAACCACAAAATTGCCATCTTTATTCCAAGCTGCTTAAAACTCTGCAAACATTAGCTGCAGAAAATCATGGTGTCAAAAAAAATGGCTTGATTGTACTATATCATATGGCCAAAATAACCCTGCAAATACTCTTTGCAGCTCACAGTGTTACGTGGTTTTTGTGTTCTTTTTTTTCTCGTGAAGATCTGTACAAACCAGTATGCAGCACTCTGTATTATGTGGTGCAACAATAAAAAAGGTACAACGTAATTACATTTTGGATTAGTGTTACTCTCACATGTCCCCTTGACAATGCCTGAGAGAAGAAATGACATTCAAGAGGGAGTAAATTACCTTTAAGAGGACGCAATGTTGTCAACAACAATGTCTATCCAACTGGGGGACAATAAACAAAGCTGCCTTTTCTTCCCTTGTATCCAGGAGTGAGTATTTCAGCCAATCAGGATGTGGAGACAGACATGGAGACCTTTCAGATGGAGATTGATAAAGACAGCAAAAAGCCAATGTTCAGGACAAATGGTGGATCCTACTGGACTCTAGTGTCTCATGGGGAAATCCAGTCCACTGCCACGGAAGTGTAAGTAGATTTCCTGGTTCTCAAAAGAGAAACTTTCATCCATGTTTGCTCATAATTCTTACCTGAACTCTATATGTCTGTGTTCCCAGAGAGGTCAACACGATGTTTGACATTGAGTGGCGAGGAAAAAGGGTGGCGCTCAAAGCAAGTAATGGAAAGTATGTATGCACTAAGAAGAATGGGCAGCTCTCAGCGGTCAGCGACACAGTTGGTAAGTGCTTTTTAGCAACTTTCTATAAATGCTGTGGCTGTTTGAAATACCCGGCACTGGTACATTTCCCATTCAAAACATATGAAAAGCATTCATCTTCCTTCAGGTGAGGGTGAACTGTTCCTGATGAAGCTCATCAATCGTCCTATCCTGATCCTTCATGGGGAGAACGGCTTCGTGTGCCACCACAAGAGCTCCAACACTCTGGATGCAAATCGATCCGTCTATGACATCTTCTCATTGATCTTCAATGATGGCGCCTACCATGTAAAAAGTCAGTGCATGAAACACAAATTTCTGCCTGGTCTTCAATATATCTTGTGTGACTTGATTCATCTGGCGTCCACATATAATCTGCTGTTGTTATCCTCTTGCAGGTGTGAATGGATTGTACTGGTACGTCTCTAGCAGTGGTCTGGTGTGCTCAGATGGAGAAAAGCCTGAGGACTTTTTCCTTGAGTTCCTGGGGCACGGATGTGTCGCCATCAAGGGCTCCAATGGCAAGTACCTTCGTGGAGATAAGGGAGGTACACTTATGGGGGATGCAACAACTGTTGATGCATCTTCTCTTTGGGAGTACTGATCCCTTTGAGTCAGGGTCCTCAAAGAGCAAGAAAGAAGACGGGGTGCAGGACCTGCTTCTACCAACTCACATGAAGCGGACTGACCGAGTTACATTTTCCTGCCTGTTTTTATACTAGCTACCCGGTGCCCAATGACAAGGTTTGTTTTATTCTAAATTGGGAAGAGCTGAACACTTTAGGATTGTAAGTGTTGAAAGTTTTGTCTTCCCAATGACATTGCCAACAGCAAAGAACGCCTGTTGAGTGAAATTGTATTTCACACAATAGGGAACATAACAGCGGATCTATATTTTGTACAAAATGAGTACAGCTAGGTTGAAATACCTTTGAAGGCGGCCATACTTATCAGTTTTTGAACAGGAAGAAATTAAATGTGTGTTGCTGCCTTGAACAAATTCTATGTGTAGCCTATTCAAAAAGCTTGGCAATGAAAGGTAACAAGAGGAATGTTAAGTCCTCCTGTTGCTTCAAAGTCCCACCGGGTAAACAGACAAAATATCCCCAAAGCTGAAACAGCCTTTGCAATTTGTTCTGTCAAAACAGCTTTCACATACTCATACAGAGGAGACACTTGAAAGCAAGCGTCAGCATTAAAAGGTCAGTGTATCTACATCCTTTTTCCTTAAAAAGAAAAACAAATTTCATTTCACCTGAGACCTCTGTCAACGCAAAAATGTTTGTTTACAGATTTCAGCAACTTCATTATTCAATCACGTTCTATGAGAACGGTCATTAAAGTGACAGAAATTAAAATAAGGTAATGCACCGATGTCTTCAAAGACAGCTAATGGCTAGTGCCAATGGTGTTTTTATTTATCTTGATGAACCATTTACAGCTTCCATGAAAGCGAATGAAGTAGACTGGAACAACTCTTCAACTTTAAGCAAGATATATCCAAAGAGGGCTTCATCCAGCATCACTACACACATAGAAATGCTTTTTTTAAAAACGTGCACAACATTTAGAAGTACAGAGATCAGGGGTGTAAAGGAACAAAGAATACCAGTAGAGATGTAATATACCCATTACAGGGATAAGCAATGAAACCAGAGGGGAAGGACATTAAAGTACCTGATAAAGTATTTATCGCTCTTTAATGCACCAGGTGTAAATGTGTTCAGAAAGTGCTTCTCTGGTCTTCTGCCTAGGGGCCTTAAACCATACTGCACTCTGCATCCCTTAATGCCCTGTTCTCGTGTTCAGAGTTGGGTGGTAAGATTAGAGCCTATAACTGATTAAGAAACCAGATTTCTTCTTGTTTTATATAAAAAATTGCAAGTGGAATAAGAAAACTTGTTAGGTCACATCTATAAAACATCATGCAGCAGTATAGGAGTTACTCTGGTAACACAACTCCTACTGTAAAATGTGCCCACTAGCCTCTGGTAAAGCTTTAGTGAGTGCAGCCCTTCACAGGGGGGGAAAAAACATCTTTTGTATTCTGATTCAATGTCTTATTAAATCAACAAGGGCACAGGCTGAACTTATACACAATTTATCCTGTAGACTTTTGTCATTTATTTCCCGTGAAGAATTTTAATTCTGCAATAGTTCAAGTGTAGTGTCAAATCCATTGATTTTGTGATATTTTGCATTAGTCAAGAAGAGACACTTTAGAAAGGTCTGAACTGCTTGGTCACATATGCACCCTGTACTACCAGCTCTGTAGACAGCCTCCAGTCATATTAGAGTGTATTTTTTAAATAGATGTAAGTTGTTATACTGTTTATGTTTACTGGCAAAACTTTAAAATGTCGATGGTAAATAAAAGAAAAACTTGACAATAATAATTGTGTTTTATTTGCAGCTGGAGACGCTTAAAGCACAAAAAACTTATAAATTGGTTATTTTAAGTGATAGTGGACCATATATGGGTATTAAGAGCTAGCTTACCTTTGAACTGATAGCATTCAGACTCTCTATTTGTTTCTCAAATGAGACTTCATATTTGTGTGTCCAAGCATCACAAACCTATCTGTTTGTTGAGGTGGCAACATAGGCGAGAATACACACACACACACAAAGGTGGTGCAGCTTTCCAGGGCACATGCATTTGGAATCAAGATTCCGCTTATCTCCCTCAAAGCAATCATGCCTATAGGGGAGGAATAGCTCCTCCATTGTGGTTCTGTTCAGTGGCTCTGATATGCATCCGTCAGAGCCAGCATTGTTGTTGCGTGACCGGGTGCAAGTAATGCAAAAACACCTGACGACTGTTTGAGCTGCCAAAGCCTCTGAACTGAACAAATCTGTAGAAATCACAGCGGGTGTTTTTGTTGTTCTTGTTTTGTTTTGCTGTCTATGTAACTATTGTTAGCAGCATTTCACTTATGCAGAAATGCTGGAAATTAACTATACTGTACTAATCGAGTCCTGAAAGTTGCTAAAAGGACACCACACCTTTTTCATACCTTGTGTTGAGACATTTAACTGGCTTATTCCCATCACATCCTTTACAGTTCAAGCTTTAACTGGCACATCTACATCATCCTGCAACACCCTCCTGGTTTAACAGCACCTGACTGGAGAATTAGTGACACGAGGTGTTTGTCTCAATGTGCCGTATTTGCGTAATGGAAGTGGATGGATAAACGCATTGTTTCGTTAAGTCTTTATCCTGTTTTCTGGAAAAAATAAGCGTTGGTGACAGTAATACGCCAAACCAGAGGCGGCCAAAGCCATCACTAGTAAGCTTCTTTTTTCACTCCTGTAATTTAGGCTCAGTAATATTGAACACCTTATTACATTGTGATAGATATGTCTTTTCCCTCTGAGCAATTTTCAGCGGAATAAGAAAGGCATGGTAATTAATATCTGATAACTTGATAACCGCATTTACTCCAGGAGTAGCAGGGTACTTATAAAGACCATGACAGCTCAGTGGGGGTGTAGAAACGTGTTAACATTAATGCAACCATTTACATGGTAGGCACGTAACTTTTATATAACGTGTATAGCTGCAAGAGTGAAACTAAATGCCTGTTGAATTAGCATGGATAAAAATAATCATCTGTGCACACTGAGGCCAAGACATCAAAAATGATTATAACTCATGTGACTAAAAATCTAAATGTTTTCTAAGAGGCTGTTTAGCCGGTGAATTCGACACCCCAGCTTTGATTTGTGCACAATTAAAAGGGATAGGGCTCTAAATGCTGAGGGTTATAAGAAAGTTAATTACCGTAATGCTACACTAGGTGGCACTGTGGCACCTGTCTAAGTCCAAAAGGGTGTTACAGTAATAGTCAGTGACAATTGCTGTGAAAAAAAAGTATAACTGCAGCGAGCACGACAAGCACAAACACCTGTAAGTAATCCACCACACTTTATCTCACCTCCTGACATCTGTTCAGGCCTTCATGAGCAACGACACCAAGATCTAACTGAAAATGACATCAGCTGTCACAAAACGACATCGAGTAAACAAGATTTCTCACTCTGCCTCACAGGAAACAGAGTGAGAAGGATCCATCACCTCGTCTCTGTGGTTTTATCTTGTTTTCAGCTTTTCATCGGCAGCAAAAGGACGGCGTGTGCTCGTGCTGCATCACACAAGCGCCACTTAACTCCTCTCCAGCACAACACATTTAACAATACAATGACACATCCCCTCCCCTTGTTTGATTCTGTAATTACTCTGGCAAAGGTTTTTCTTTGAGAATCACAGCCCACTAATCCCCTGCTCACTAGCCCAGATAATTACACACCGTTCACTGAAGTGGGGATGTTTTAACAGATTAACTTGCCTGGCCTGACGTTGACTCTGCCGCTGGCGAAGCATTTTGACAACACTAAAAGAAAAAAAAAAAAAGAGAAAGAGAGAGCACCTGAGATTTGAGAGTATAGTCAAACTATGAAGCTCAATAAAATGTTCTCATCTTAAGTATAACGAAACTTTGAGACCCGAGGAGTTTCTTCTGACTGTCTGCATGGGAAGTGTGAAAAGCGCAGAGCTTGGCTGATGGTGAGAGGTCGATATGTGTTACTGACTCTGTTCTTGCCCCTTGTGTGCTGAACTGTAACACTGCCTGCAGCTAGAGTTGTTCTGGACGAAATAATACTTCTCTAGCTTTTCAGGCATATGTCAAAACTTTATTTGAAAAGTCCTACTCATATTTTTATGATCCACAAGAAATAGATAAATAAAAAAATAAATGCATGGTTTTGACATCCGTAGATAGTAAATGCAAATCTGATCTGTACAAAGTTCAGCCAACTTTTAGGAAAACAGACTCTAAAATTAGCGCAGAATGGCTTAAATAGCTTTTCTTTTTAATACAACAGCCTTATTAACTCACCAAGAACTGTCTTTTTCATTTCATGTATTCATCATCTTAACTCAAAACGGACACTTTCATTACTAACAATTCAAATCAGCTGCCAACACCTGAGTTAGAGTTTCTGCTGATTTATGCCACGAGCAGCTAATTCGGTCTGTGCCAGCTAGTCTCAGGCGGAAATACGAGGTCTAATAAACTGATTTCTTTCTAGCACCACCCCACAGTTTTAAATCACTCAAGTGTCACCACTGATACGGTTCGTGAGTCTCAACGCAGCTCCCATCAGAGTATCTGAAGCCTTTAGGGTTACATGTTAGGTATGTCCTTGATAGCTAGAACAAAGAGCTTAACTGCGGCTGTAATCCACTTAGTATATTTACCCTACACCTTCATACATTTTCAAGGTAGATGCACTTAATTTGAGCATTTACCTTTTTTGTTCCTGTTAGACTCTGACTCTATTATGTTTGACAGGCAAATAACCTTCATTTTAACAATGGAATAAAATATGAAATCATTAAACTATTCAAAAAAAGTCCCAAGTACTCAAATAACTTTACTATTTACACTTTTTAATGAGAAAGATTAAAATTTCAGAGTTTTAATGTTACTTTTACTCAAGTCAAAAGTCTAAGAACACGCCTTTTAATGAGGATTACAATCTTAAAATTTAAAGCTCAGGTAAGAAACTCAACATTTAAGTTGATTTTGGCACACCCTTTAAAAAATAGTGTTACATCTTAGCTCAATAAGCAAAATAAATCACTCAGTAAGAGTGTTCGCAGCGGAAGATAATGAAAAATGCTGGTGAACACTCTGTCTGACACCTGGATTTCCTGCAGCTGCAGTTTTGTGCATTAAAAATGCAAATGTAGAAATATTCAGTCTTGACACTGACGGTCTCATTTTCCTTCGCGTTCATTAAGATGCATCATGTCTCTTTCTTTCCTAACCTGCTAAAACGCCTCACAGGGATTCACAGAGTAAAATTTGACCCGAAAAGCCAAAATATTTTCTTGCCATGAAAATTTAAAACTTCCCCTAAAACCCGACAGAAACGGCAGGAGTCAAACAATTTTTTCAAATTCAATAGAAACATGAAAGCACATTTCTATCCACCAGAATTTCACCTGACAAAGTCATGAAACACACAGAAAAACAGGACATACTAAGGATGGTATATTGAATTATTTCAAATCTTTGGGAGACAAAACCACTGAGACTGTCTGTGCTTTATGAAAAATTCAGAGCCAGTATATACTGACCTGATCTGAGCTATTAATATTAAAATCCATAACTGAACCCATTTCTAATTCAGAGAGGAGATGAGTTTAACCCATCCTGAAAAGCACAGATATTGAAAATGGAATAAACACCCCGCTGAATGGAGACAGATTAGGCAGTACTTAAAGTCCGCAGAAACACAAAAGGCAATCAACGCTGAAAACAACCAATTCCCACTTGCAATTACAAACAGAAAACAAGCAATAAAATGCTACAGAACCTTAGCACAGATGAACTTATCTCCTACCATATTGAATTAGCTGTAGACTGAAGAAAAAGGCAAGAGGGGCCTTTTAGTCAGCTGGCCATGAGGCCCTCCATAGACGTACCTATAGCAGGAGCTAAATTTCATCCATCCCTGACTAGCCGGTAGTAAACAAGTGAAAAAGGCATTTATTCCTCGGTGACAGGTGTACACAGACGGGCTTGGAAACCCAGTTGGATCTGTCATAATAAAAAAAAAAAAGAAGTGACACATTGTTTGTCTGTTGTAACAGGGAAAATAGAAGAAACAGTGAGTCCTTTTTCCAGATTCAAGAAGACATTAAATCCCTGCCTCTACCTTTCCTACAGCTCCTGAAGCCGTGGGTCCATCACTCTGCACTGACACCTTCACACAGAGCAGGAGGAAGCTCTCCGTCTCATCAGGGGGGTGTCGCTCAGAGAAAAAACCGCCAAAACTGTAGCATAATCTCGAAAGCAGCTCAAACTGAACTGGGCATTGAGATGGCATCTGATATCTGCGCTTGTTTACATCCAGGTAGTAGAGTATTGTTGCACCATCGCAGTAACCATTATTATTATAACATCAGACATATTTTGACCAGCATTTTAGGCCCTTAAAGGGCTATTCCGGCGTAAAATAAATTTAGGGTCAAACATTCCGTAACACCGAGTGAGATACCCCCTCAAGAGATGAATGTTGCCGACCCGCTTGCTTCTCTAGTTATACCAACTTTAGTAACGACCGCACAATAGCAATACATAGCGGTCTGAGGAGCCATAAATAAACCTCAACTAAAACGCCACTCTATAGCCACAAATAATGCTCAGAACAGCACCTAACTTCATCAACAGTACATACAGGGTCACAGCCTTAGTTACGGCCTGCTGTGGGGTGATGCAGCTCAAGGAAGAACATTTACGATCATTCTTCCTTGAGCAGCGTCACCCCACTGCAGGTGGGTAATGGGTAGGTAATGGACCTGCTCAGGGTCCCACTACAAACAAGCGACTGCTGGAAGAGAGTAGGTGAGTTGTGTTTAGTCTCTTTGCTAAAGAAATCAGGCAAAGTTAAAAGGATGTTTGGTGGCTAGTACTATGGCTTGGACCCTATATGTACTGTTGCTGAAGTTAGGTGCTGTTCTGAGCATTATTTGTGGCTATAGAGTGGTGTTTTGGTTGAGGTTTGTTTATGGCTCCTCAGACTGCTGTGTATTGCTATTGTGCGGTTGTTACTAAAGTTGTTATAACTAGAGAAGCAAGCGGTCGGCAACATTCATCTCTCAAGGGGGTGTCTAACTGGGTGTTACGGTGTGTTTGACCCTAAATTAATTTTACGCCGGAATATCCCTTTAATAATGCAAATTTTAATCTTTTGTCCATCTAAATTGAAGTGCAAGAAGCTGCAAAACAATGACGTATGGTAAAGTTGCAGACAGAGTCATCTTGTTTACTTGTTAAGACAGACAACTCTTATTGATCCAAAATCAAACTTCAGTAACAATACATCCAAGATTGATTTTTTTTTTTTTGTTCTATATTGTGCATCTATCATTATTTCGTGAACACGTAAAGGCAATTTTCTTCTTCAGAGTTGTGCAGGAAAAAAGAAAAAGAGGCGTGCTATGAATTATAAAAGAATAAACAAAAGCCGGCTAAACTGCACACTTTTGTATAGATGCCTGTATAGATGTCTTTTGTATAGATGTCAGGATGTAGCAATCTATTTTCCTTGAATGGTTGTCAATACAAACAAGAGAACATTTCTACATTAAAATTAAAGCTTTTAAACAAATGCAGCAGAGGTCCTCAGCATTTAGCCGACGCCTTCAAAATAAAACGCAAACCTGCATGTTAAAGTCTTTTAATGCCATGGGTGAAAACACTGAAGCACTTACAGGGGTCTGAATAATCACCTAAGCAACAATAACCTCCACACGTCTGAGTATGCTATTTCTGCTGCATCCAGAGGGTGGCAGTTAGACTTAAATGTGACTAATGAAATAAAATGACATGCACAGGTACGCAACAAGCTTACAGTGCAGCCTTTTACTTTGGGAAAACACGTTAACCTCAGCTCTGATTAGGGGCTGTCAGTCAGTCATGATTCTCGCTGTCTCTAACGAAAGAGCATGTCTATCTGAATTACTCTCATAAATTTAATCAAGTATATTTAGATGCACAATTTATTTGCTGTAATGTCCCCCACTGATTTCCCTGCACAACAGACAAATTCAATTAAGTCTCTTTCTATGCACAGTTCATCTGCTGCAATGCTCCCTCAGTTTTCCTTGAGTGTAGAGTGAAGTGAAAGGCAATTTAAGTACAAGGCGGTTGCACAAGTTTTGAATATTGCAGTGATCAAATGGTCGTCCTAGGCTTGAAAATCCCATCCTACCCTTTCTATAATGTGGATGTATGAAAAAAAAAAAAACTAAAGTTGAAAGAGAGAGCTGATAATGGAGGGTCGACCGTCTATGTCATGTGTCTGTTAAGTGTAGCAAATGGAGGACACAAAAGAAAGGCCAGTGATCTCAGGCTCTTTTCGAACATCTTGTTCCAGGGCAGCTGTTACGCCATGTGACTCTGTGATCAAGGTGAGAGGGTGAGAAAACTCTGTACAGTACTTCCTGTTGCCGTGTTATCTACATTGTGTTACAAACATGCAAGACCAGACGTAAATCAATCAATATCTGACTGATTTTTACCTGCAGAGAAGAGAGTTGGAAGATTTCCCACCTTCTATTCATTGCTGTCTTCAAGCTGTGTGAAACGACAGGAGAAATTCACATTTAGTTTATGACTCAGAGTAAATGAATGAGGGAATTCAGAGGACTGTCAAGCCAAGTGAAAAATTATCTTGTTTTTTTGTAGTGCCACTGGGTTATACATGTGCGTCTCTGCAGCGAACCGGTTGCTAGTTTCAAAAAGTTGCACAAATCCGTCAAGCTGTGTTGTCAAATTTTCCACTCTCTAAAATTGAAGCTGTTGTACCGTGTTTAAATGTAATTTTCTTACAACAAAGAAACTGTCCCCTCAATGAACTCACTCAAATGAGAACTGAGAGACAGCCTTAAGGCACCGTGTGTAGAAATTGGGATATTTAGGCATTTCTAACAATCAAATTCTAGACTGAAACGCTCCCTTGCTCACCCCTCCATCTGTGAAGTGACAGTGCCTTCAAGGCCAAGCATCTCCGGCTGATGCATCATAATTAAAATACATCTTTTGTAAATTTTTCACCAACAAAAATATCTTCTTTAGTGCTCAGCAGCTATCCATCTCTTTGTTTTGAACTTTTCCTGAGTAACCAAAAGAAACTGCCAAAGAAAGAGCAAAATGCCGCAGGCTGCCACAAATTCATTCCTACAAGCCAAAAACGCCACACAGACTGATTAGACATAATGCTCCACAATGATGCCCTCAAATTCTCTTGGGCTGTCTTCATGGGCTGAGAGTCAAAAGCTAACTCCAACTGAGAATCTGTGGCAGCATTCGAGGGTAAATGAAGTGTCCAAATGTGCGTGGCTAATGGATCTACCCACACCACAGACATGGGAGGGTTGTGTGGTCTCCAAATGTGCCAGGTCTTAATGTTCAATGGTGGCTTAAATGAGAGTGGGGAAAAGAGAGGTGGTTTAATTGTTGTGAAATTGTGGAGATATGGGGAGGGTCAGTGATGGCGATATTAGAAAAACACCTACCTCAGATGCTGGCACTTGTTTCCTCCCTGCAGCCATATTGTTTTTAGTTTGACATGTCAATCATTTAGCCCACCTGTAGGGCCCTACAAGTACGGCTGTCCAAGTGCCTGACGTAAATCACAACTCTCTTCATTTATTCTTTTCTTTTCTGTGTTTATATGATCTTACCCTTAGAAATGGCGTTTGTTGTTAAATTCGTTTATTGTATCTTTAACATGTTACTATTTTCATTCATTTGGATACTGTATGGATCGTATCAAACTACATTATCTAACTGCATCTGGTCATTGTTACTTCTACTGTCAAAAGTAGGCTACAGTTTACTAACGATAAGCGCAAATCCAAAACCAAATGTGGCCGGATGTAAGCTATTTTGTATCAAGAATAAATATTAAGCATATAATGTAAGACATTACAACTGTGAGTTTTATTCTGAAATTCCTCACCGGATGCGGGATGTTTTACTCCCGTAATTTGAATCTGTGGATCTCTCTAAGAGCGCTGCTCTCGCTGTGAAACACTATTCCAGTGTCAGTGTGCTCAGAAAGGTGCATCTCTTCCACTGTTCTGTTTCTTCTTAAGACAAACTGGAATTTTCTGTTATTTTTTCAGTTTTTACACATTTCTGCACCTTGGTAGCATGGAGAATCAACGCTTTACAGGAATGGATACACCTGGAGAGCTTTTACGCATCGCATCTTTTGGAGCGCCTGTCGAGATAACATTGAAGTGAGATAATATAAACTTCAGAGAATCACAGTGAAGCTGTCGGCGGACTGTGCTGGCCACTATGAGGTACGGATTAGTGGTCCTTACTGCTGGGTTCACCGGTTTGCTCAGTTTTAGCCTCCTCGCCTTGGCAATTGGGACTGATTACTGGTACATCATCAACGTGAACAAAGCCAACCACACAGGTCCTGACGATCTGAGTTCACATTCTGGACTGTGGAGAATTATTGAAGGTATGTGAATTCAACTTTCACCGATAAAGCTCATTTACAGTTTGTGAAATCATTCAAGCAAAGAGTAACTGCAGGTATAGTAATGAGGGAGCTGGTATTAATTCGGACGCAGCCCTCGATCGTTTATGTCGAATAACTTTTGCGCTTGCCTCTCAGAGGATCCTCTTTCATGGCATCAGTATCACTGTGCGTAAAATGCTCCGTCAGTTAAGTCATTATAATAATTCTCTTGGATTTACTCTGTTTCAGTATTGTAGTTTTCTGTCCGGATATGAAAAAGTGCCAGCATTGATCGTTCTCAGTGTTCTCAGTGTGGTCTAAGGAGGAAAATCGATGTAGCCAACTCTGTGTTTCATGGACTGCATTTACGAGTCCATACATTTTCATTGATCACGAGTCTTTGCATGATGTTGCCGCGTTGTAGAGGCCGATTTATTCCCAATTACTCGAAGATTTAAAGAACTGAGAAGCTGCAATGAATCCCAGTTGAATGGCACTTGTGCACAGTAAGAAACGACCCGGTGCCATTTAACTTGGAGGAAAAGACAAAGGCATCCATGAGGTGGATTATCGGGTATAATGCTTTCATAGTCACTGAATAAAGCCTAATGAACCGATGGGATATTAGACATATGGCAATAGGTCTGTGACATCTGTGAATTTCTCCCCTGTCTAATTAAAACTGAGGCAGCTCTAACCCCTGCACATCCCTGCAGGCGGCTGCAGGTGAGCAAGCAGGAGGCTGCACAGATTCCAAAGGGTGTTTTTGTCATACACAGCTGCAACAAATAGCGCGTGTTGGGGATGCATAGCTTGATCCCTGAGGTCTCCTATCTGGTGCTACAAGCCAAGTAATGAGCCTTCAAAATGCTCAAAACTGCATGCAGTGTTCACACCTGTGACAAAATGACAAATGTGGAACACGTGAGAGATTTTCATGTTGCAAATCTGAGATGTCTGCAACCAGCTTGACCATTTTAAGTTTGCTGTCGGTCTAGTTTTGAGGGGCAGTCATCATAAAAACAACTTCACAGTTCAAGGAGAAATCTGATATTGTTTGTATCTTAAAGTCGCTCCTGTCGTGTGTAACCTTTTCCCTTGACATTTTCAGGAGCAAACAGAAGCTCAGTCATCCCTTCTTTCACAGCGAACATGTCCAGCCTGTCGGACACAGAAAAACAGCTTCTCGGTGAGTGAGTGGTTTTATTTATTCACTAACTAAAGACTTGATAAAGAGGCGAAATGAAGCAAAACACCGTCCTCTGTGTTAGAAAGTATCTCAAGAAGAGTGTAGTATTCTACAAGTGATTTTACTGACAGTGAAAATGAAAACCAATGGCTCCCTGGACGGGGTGAATCAATCTAAAACCCCCAGCTGGTTTCCAAATGGTTCTTCTGAGCTGTAATCTAAAAATCCAGCTGATCTGCTACAAAGGAACAATCACAAAAACCCCAGGACAGCGCTTTAAAAATCTCTAAGCACAGTAATTGTTGTGAGCTTTCGCATGCCGATGTGTGTCCTCAGGTTTGCACAAAGTGGTGGTCATCTTGCTGCCCCTCAGCCTGGTGCTGCTGGTGTTCGGGTGGATCTTCGGACTCGTCAGTTCGTTGGCCTGCAGCCCCAGCTTACTGGCCGGATCAGCATCATATTTCCTCTTCTGTAGTAAGTCTTAATAATTTTAATTCATCTATGTACTTATTTTTTTCCCTGAAGCAATAACAAGGTAGAGGCTCTCAGAAAGTGTGTGGGTTGCACATTGTATGCTCATGGATGCCCTTGAGTGAGTGGTAACATCACAAAGAATCTATCTATTATCATTTTTTCACATGATTCACTCTTGACTCGTGTCAAATTCTCCAATTGACTTTTCCTCGTACATTTTTCGCACATATTGACGACAGGTAAGAAATCAGCGTTTCTAAGGTGTTAATCTTAGAGTTGACAGATGGTTGGATTCACAGCTCCTCCTTAAATATGTCTGTTTAGCAACTGTTTTCATGCTAATCGAGCCGAGTGAGGTAATGATCTCTACGCTCACGCTGTAATTACACGAGATAAAAATAGAGATATAATTGTTAAACAAGAAGAAAAACGTTTCAAACTGGTGTGACTGTTCTGTAAAAGACTCCTTTGTCTCTATTTAATCTGTTTTTTTTTAGCTTTTGTCAACTAGTGCTGCATAATGTAACTGTAATTATGCTGAGACGGATACTCCAACAAGAACCCCCATGTGCACAATCAATTTTTTTTGACCTTTTACAAACACTAAAAACCTGTAGCGTAGACACAAATTAGAAAAAGTGTCGAGCTTCTTTTCTCTTGAGATTTTCCATGAACTTGATTTTCTGACACCAAACCTAGAAGCATTCCTACCACGGGGGTATGCCATCATAATCAACAGTATTGATCATGTAATGAGGAGGGATTGCTAGTCCAGGTTGAGTCGCACAACACTAGGAGATCTTGTTCTTGATTGACAGTCAGACTCTGTCTAAAAACACCAAATGACAATTTAAGCTCAGAGGGGAGTCTCAGGGGGAAACTCGCTGTAAAACCCATTACAGGAACAAGCATAGTTCTTTAACTACCAAGCTGGAAACCCAAGGAAGAATCTAGATAGAAATGCAGTCAGCCAATCCCCAGAGACAAATCTTGAGGAGACATCTTCCAAATGAGATCTGATAAAAACAGGCATTTGAAAGACTATTGAGCTTTGAAGCACAGTTTTAGCTGTAGGCTGCATGGACAGAGTTGATTGGTCGCTCTGCTTTAATGAGACACAGTCTACACACAACTTTATCTCCATTTCCCAGCTTGAAATTCAGCCCAACTGTGCTGCACTGTAAAGTGTAATCTATCATCTCACATCTGGGTAGAGGAGCATCACAGCAGCATGGAGGTAGGCAGCAATTAACCAGAGCTTCAGTCTGACATAAGACTGAAGCTCTGTGACATAACAGACCTACGGTAGCTGCGCTATATGGGCACAGATTATCGGAATAAAAATGCGTCAATATCGGAAGATTCTGATCCAATTCAGCTCAATCGGAAAGAAACTATATGCCGATTGTGACGGAGCGCCGTTAAGAGACGTCATTCCCCGACTGGGGCCTGAGTGCCGGTGGCGAGAGTGCGCACAGCGCGCACTCGTTCCCCGCGGAGCCAAGCATCGTCAAAACTGTTAAACCGTTTCCCCGCACCTGTGTCCCGCAGTCCCACACTCCAACCAACCGTTTCCCTTTTTAATCTAGACTCTCTTCTCCGCGCTGTAGGCATTTGAGGGTTCACAATCGACAACTACATGCCGCAAACACACATACACCCACTTACCTGCTGCCATCTTTCAAGTCAAACCGGGGCACTTCCGGATCCGTCGGTAAATAGCGTAAGGTGGCGCGCTTTTGGGGCTCATTTTACCACCGGACCATACCAGTATAGTTCATTTGCAGTGATACTTTGTCTGATTTATTGTTTATTCAAGGGGTAGGGTCATAGCTGTATGGAGGATTATTAGTGCCTTTTCGTCCGTGGTGAAATGTCTAATTTATTGAGGAGTCCGTGTTGTACTTTACATATGGTATCTTAAACCCCTATAATTTGTGAATGGCTGTGTCCAGGGGAGGGGCTAGAGGGGTTTAAAACACGTCTGCTTGGGCTTCTCTTGGACAGTGGAGTTGGTTGCAAGATAGGTAAGTGCTAAACAGATCATTGGTTGTATTGCTGCTGTGTTGCTGTTGCTGTTGCTGTTGCTGTTGCTGTTGCTGTTGCTGTTGCTGTTGCTGTTGCTGTTGCTGTTTATTTATTTATTCTTGAGCTTGAGGTAATTGTAGAACTCTTGCTTCGTTGGCATTGTTATTTTTTTGTGTGCCTTGTACAGATTATTTTGTAAATAGTATTTGGAGCATTTTTTCACCTTTTGTAAATATTTTTGCACTGTACCTTAGGAAGCTGGCTATCAGCTACAAAGAAGTGGTTTATGGTTTACTCCGATCGTGATTCCGAAACACGTCCATGTAAATTCTCATTCTGATCGTGACTCTCTGTTGGGGCAAAAACTAGCCTTACTGCGCATGTGTGTCCTGCGTCAACGTGACGCATTTCCGTCGTAAACATGGCGGGATCCAAGAGCGATTGGTCCGTGAGTGACTATCGCATTTGTTGGTTTGTTGACAGCACAGGTGTAAATACAACTCTTCTTCTTTGGTTGTTTTAGAGAACTCTGCACATGTCCAAATGCCTCTAATCTGAATAAAGCTTGGTGCATGTATATATACATCCTGGTCGGATTATTTGATTTTGCAAGGCAGAGGACGTTGATGACCAAATACTCCTATTCCTGGTTTTTCTGGAAAGTGTTATGGAAATCCGTGGACATGTTTTGAATGTAATATCCCTGCAGTCATATCATGTTGTGATACAAGGTTTGGCCTTTATACCTAAAGCACTATGTTAGCGATGCCCTCTGTTGTCCGTTAGGCGAGACACGCATGAGAGAAAATCACATTATGGACTGGGAAAAAGCCATCTACTGTGGGATCCATTATGTTGGTTAAGGTAGGCAGTAGAGATCAGACCAACTGTGGTGAGAGTGTCTATATGTTGTTGTAACAAAGGGCACGATCATCCTGCAGATTCAGGTAGAACGACCAAACCATTATAAATCAGCATCATGTGACTCTTCTGAGAAAGACGGCAGGAAGATTGAAGTTAAAGTCTGTCAAGGTGGAAATAAAAGACACATGTATCTATCTCTAACATTAAATGTAATATACAGTCAAGCTAAGTGACATTTATTGCCTATGAAATGAATGCTTATTCATCAACTTGTCTTATTAGCTAACCAGAGATTGATCATTTCTGTTTTATACTCTTACCCCTGGTACTGCTGCTTGGTTGGTCTCAGACAAAGCGGTTTAGTCAGACCTGAAACATTTTTTTCCCTGACATTTTTCTCCAGACAAGAATTGAATGAGGGGAGTGAATGTGAGTGTTAAAAGGTAGCAGGTTCCCAGAGAACACTCATGCTGGTGCAGATGAGATCAGAAAAAGAGGAGAAAAGACTCACTGCTTCGTCCACGAGTGTCAGATGAGCCTCTGAAGGTGGGACATCACATCAAAAGCACTCTGTGGAGGCCACAGTGTAATGTTCGCGATATGATGATGGATGAAGCAACAGAGGCGCAGGCTATGAGGACCCTTTTTGTAGTCATTTTAGTGAACCACGCAGACGGGCAAGATCTGAAGATGTATGCTTTTCTTATCTTGACAGTGATTTTTTTTTTCCCTGCAGTCTTGAATGCTTTTATTCTTCCTGTTTCACGTCGCTCCTCTGGGGTCGCACTGGTATAAATGTCCAATTTCCTGCTGCATTCTCACAGCAGAAAGTTGGACTCAAAATTTCGCCCATTAAGTCATTCTGACTATTTCAGGGTGATTTTAGGTGTTTTCTGCCCCTTTTTACTTTCTGCTTTATAAATCACAAGAAATATTCCTTTGATTGGCAGGACATTTACCACACGCATTCATGCTCCCTTTACATCGGCGAGTTCAGCTGCGGGGAAGAATAAAACTCAATCTTCTTTTGAAGAATGCACAATCCTGTGTTTGCACAAACTCGATGGTCTTGAGTCTCGGATTGGGTTGAAACTGAGGGTGAACGCATGAATCTGTCACAGCAGTGGAACGTCTTATTATATACCTCAGCATCACTGCTGACAGGGCCGGCCTCCCCTGTCAGGCAGAGAAGACAGCTAATTTCATGCTTTGCACAAAATGTCCTGACCACGTCTTGACAGCAGAAGTCCCGTGATCTGAGATCTCTGCCACTTTCAAAATCTACTCTAATGTAAGGAACGATCAAATTTATAACCTCATGTACATATCTGAGTTTTGTTTTAGAGAGAGTTTATCCAAATACAAGTTTGATGTGAAGCAATGCGGTGATAGGTCCTTGAGATTCCAGTCTGAATGCTAATCGCTGATGAATCTGTCTTCTCAGACAGAATATAAGACCTGTAAAGGTTGACATTTCCATCTTGGATAGTTTTAACTTCGTCCCTGTCTTTGACTCTGCGATTCAAGGTTGTTAAAAAAGAAACCCGCCTGCGTGCGCTCCATAAAATGTTCAAATTGGTATTGCTTTGCTTCAAGTACAAGACTGTGTTTATGAGTACTTGTCTAAATCAGGGTAGGCGTTTTCACTATTTTTTGCAGCAGGCTCCAGTTATTACTGTAGTTAAAGTCGGAGTGAAATTGATCTGCAGACTTGCAAACCAAGGAGGCTTGCAGAGCCAGCTGTTTCCCCTGACCTCTTACCTGTTCAGGCTCCCGTGTGTAAATTAGGCACACTGCTCGACACACATGGAGTGACTAAACCACAGCTATCATTTTGAATGGTCGGTAATTTACAGAGTTAAACTGCTGCAGACGATAGAGCAGTTTTCATCTGTTCTGCTGTTCACACTAAAGGTCAGCCTGAATTGTGCATACGGTCTCGACTACTCCAGTATTTCAGTTCTTTAGGGGCTAAGAGTCAGAGATATGTTATTCAGTCCTGCCCACCTCTGAGGTAATTGTAATGCGAGATGTTTTATTTGTCTGCTCTGAAAGCCAAAAGTAATCTAAAAAGATAAAAAGCAGAGAAACTCGCCGGCTCGCTCTCGTAAAGAGCAAATGATCCAATTAGACGAAGAAGAAAGTTACTGGAACAATTTAGAAATGACAGATTTAAAAAATGCTTTATTCTTCTTGTGAAGTGCTTTAAATCTTTAATGAATTAACGTCGTTCTAATTGTTTCTCATTATTGGGCTAACAGGTTTAAATCTATACTGATGTATCATCTCCATTAGGTTAGTGGTGGATAATTACTCTGGGAAAAGGATGATTTTCCAATCACTGCGTTACACTCAACAAAGCGTTTAAAAGTCATCTAGATGTTTGACTTAAGTGTGTAATTACAGGCGCAGAGTGGAGTTTGTGTTTTACATGGATCAAGACTACATTTCCCATGAGCGCTATCACCTCTGTGATAAAGATGCCGCTCTCCCCAAAGCGAACGTTTGCTGTCGTAGCAAATTAGCGGATGCTCTTGTAAATTCTTTTCTCCAATATTTTGCAGATTTGTTTTGATTTGTTTTTGTGCAAAATCATTAATTCTAACATAATAACAAAACTTTCTTAACTCTCATTTGTTACTGTTTCCTTCCAAAATGTGACCAGGCACACTAATTTAGCATTATGAATCACAGCCCTGGAGTCCCATTAATTTTCCAAATGATATAAAAATGCAATTTAATTTCTTATGTCCTCAAAAAGCAGAGGGGCATTCACATGCCTCTCATAGCTATTTCTTTTACCCGATAAAGCCCCAGTGAAGTTTCTCTGTCTGTATCAATATTTCAGAGGAAAACATGCTTCTTTTTCCAATTCCGCTCCGGTATCAGCCTTGAGTGCAAAACTCTAAATTGGAAAAAAAGATTGTCCAAAGAGAAATAAACTCTTCTTTCAATGAGTAGAGTTTGGACTTGAGGTTTGGGGGGCTCTCAAAAATGGGAAGAGTGTGATGTTTCGCAGAGTTAGAGTGATGCAATTTTGTGAGAATTATGCCGACCACGGGAACCAAAGTTGCACACACAAAGGAGGCGGTGGATACTCAGGTGTGGTGTTCCTCCTGAGATAAGCACTCCTTTACAGACCAACCTGCGGCTTCTTAAGGCTTAAGAATATATCATCAGGCACAGCGGGCGCTTTGTAAATGATGCAGAGTGTGCAGCAGGGCAGAGAGCATGCACACAAATCACTGTATGAGTAATGCCCCTGTATATATTGTTGTTATATTCATTAGTCCTTTTTTTAAAGTTTAGTAGGTGTGTTTGCTTTTCAGCGTGTGTGTCTGAGAGGGTGTGTTACCCATTGAGTGCCAGTCTGAGCTGTGAAAGGCTGGAGTTTTTGACCTGAACAGGGCTTAAGTGAAGCTGGCACAAGAGGAGATCCAAGTGAGGGTGTACTCCAGAGCTGAATGATATTGGAAACAAAACAAACTGTTTTGATTGTTTCTCCTCTCTGCAGTATTTGAAGTACAACAAAAATAGAGGAATTTGAACCAGAGAGATGCAGTTTGTTTGAAAGTGCTTAGAAGCAACTAGAAAAGCAATAACAATTGTAATTGTTGTTTCAGAGATGAAGAGACACAAAAGAGGGTTGGAGCGACAGGTGGGGGATCAAATGATACTGACAAAATAAAAACTGCAGTTCCCCGAGTGCCTGCTTGAGGCTGGCTGCAGAGGCATTAGAAAACATGCACACACTTAGCCAGAGAAGGACTTGACTGACAGGCGGACACGCTGCACACAGGCCTTCACACGCCATCTGTGTGGCAGGTTGACCAAAAATAAAGTCCAGTCAGCATTTCCAGTATGTGTACTGCCACTGATAGGCTTTAAACACATGAGCGATGTCACCAACGCCACATCCAGTACATTATACAGTCTATGCATAGTAGCAACATTGCAGCGGGTGTGCATGTTTCTATTCTACATGTGATACAGATAGACTGTCTGCATGGTGGTCAGTTTTCTATGTGGTAAAATGTATTAACAGTCAAAATACCAAGGCAGTCATTTTGACTGCTTTTAAAATTTACAATATCACAACTTTTTTAAAATAGTATCCATACACCAGTCACATCGTTACTTTTCCTAAATATGTGTATATTTTAATTTAACATTGTTTTAATCATTAAATTTCAAAACACAAAAGAGATCTGATTATTACTACCTCGAATGACCAGAGCAGTCAGATGCTTTTAACAACGGGTGTGATATTTCACTATTTGCTACATTTTCCCGCTCTTTCTCCTGCTTTACCCACCGCACAATGCGACATCGAAATGACATCTATTTAACGAATTTTTCGACGATGAGATACAAATGTGGACATCATTTCAACGTCTAAAAGAGGTCCAATAATGACGTCTAAATCTTGGATCCATTTTGCACGTTGTGCCGACGTCCAGATTTGGTCTTTGACGGACCGACCAAATACTGACTTGATCTGCACGTCTCTTTGACGTCAGATGTTTGGTGGATATTGTTTGTTTTGTACTGTAAGCTCTGTGAAGCTAAAATCTAGCTATAACCTTACTGAGAACTCAAGAGATTAAAAAATAACAACGAAGAGAAAAATGACAAGTATGGCCTTGCGCCAGAGCCTTGTTGGTGAACAATACGATGGTTCATCGGAAGTTCAGGGAATGATGTGTGTTGGTATATTGAGGATGGTTCGTAGAAAATCTCATTCATCATGATTTCCATGTTGTGTACTGATGTGTTTTTTTTATCTATTCCACCAATTTGTTATTAGTTTTTATTGTTGATTATCCAAATTATGTGCAAAAAAAAGATAATTTTAAGTGGCAATAATAATAGACTACATTTCAGGTCATGTAGCTATTGCACATGCCCAGTTGGAATATTCATCAAAATACAGTTCAGCCTGAGTGTCCATGTCTTTTTCATGAGTGACATGATCTAGGGAGGCTTGTAAAGCAAAACATCTGCACTTACTCTGATTGTATCAGCAAATAAACTGATGGTCCTTTTTGAGATGCAGCACATCTCTGTACACTATCTTACAAATGCACCGTCACACTCGGCTGTCTTTAGACCGGATTTTTGCAAAGTTCCCTGCTGCATCCCCAAGATAACAAAGCCCCTTAAATCCCTCAAACTATACCTCCTGCTTTCTAACTTGCTCTTGTCTGCCAAACTTTACCAGCCGAGTTCCAAACAAAGACATTTCTGGGTACGAGCCAGATATTGACTCGGCTTTTCTGCAGGAAATCTGACCCAAACACAAAGGAATAACTCATCTTGTCGACAGAAATCTCATGAGGTCATGGAAATGCATTAGAGCCAGAGGGACTATTTTAAAACCAGTTAATTAAAAACCCCTCACTGTCCGTCTGCGCAGGTCTGGAGCATATAGAGAAGTCATTACCACTCCTCAAGATGGAGCCATTTCCACAAAGATTTTGCTCTGTTATGAGTGACATCTTTTTGGTTTCTCTTCCTTGTCAGGTCTTTTTACCCTCACTGGGGTAAGCATCTACATCAAATACTCTAATCAAGCCATGGATGAATTCCAGCGCATCGTGTCCCCAGAGAGTCTGGCGGATGTGGATGTCTCCTTCGGGTGGTCCTTCGTCTCAGCTTGGCTCTCCTACAGCTTCGAAGTGGCCGCCGGCCTGCTGCTCATCTTGGCTGCCAGAATCATTCAGATGAAGGGACACTACGATTCAGGTGTTGCCATTGCCATGTTGTAGATTGATGATGTTTGATGCTTGGAGTGACACTCGAAGCCCAAAAAAGATAGATTGTATTTTATCGCTTTTGTGATCTACTAATTTATTTTTTAAGTGCAGCGGTATTTACTGCGACCATGGATGCTGAAAATGAAAGTATTCAAGGAGCTGTTGTTTGTTCTTCTCTGTCTGCTGGTTCGCAGTGACCACCACTACTTTTTATCCTCCAGGTAAAATTTCCTCTCCGTTGTCCTTGTCCGCAGTGATAAATGAGGCCGCAGAAAAAGATAACCGTGGCAACCCACCTTGTGTGTTTGCTGCAGAGGCTAACTGTAATTCTTAACAAACCCCAACCTCCAATGAAGTTGGGATGTTAAGTAAAATGTGAATAGAAACAGAAAACAATGATTTGCAAATCCTTTTCAACCTTTTTTTTAAATTAGAAAGACAAGAAATTTGACGGTTAAAGGGATATTCCGGCGTAAAATTAGTTAAGGGTCAAAAACATCGTAACTCCGGGTTAGACACCCCCTCGAGAGATGAATTTTGCTGAACGCTTGCTTCTCTAGTTATACCAACTGTAGTTACAACCGCACAATAGCAATACACAGCGGTCTGAGGAGCCATAAACAAACCTTAACCAAAACACCACTCTATAGACACAAATAATGCTCAGAACAGCACCTAACTTCACCAACAGAACATGTAGGGTCCTAGTCATAGTACCAGCCACCAAACATCTTTTTAACTTTGTCTAATTTAGCGAAGAGACTAAACACAACTCACCTACTCTCTTCCAGCAGCCGCTTGTATGTAGCAAGACCTCGGGCCAGTCCATTACGGACAACTGCGGGGTGACGCAGCTCAAGGAAGAACATTTATGATCATTTCTTCATGGAAATGCAATCAGACCTAAGATGCTAAGGCAGAAGAACTACCGCATCTGCAGTGCAAATTGATTAAAATGGTGATTATTATTTCAAGTAAATGATAAAAAAATGATCATAAATGTTCTTCCTTGAGCTGCGGCACCCCGCAGCAGTCTGTAATGGTCTGGCCTGAGTTCTCGCTACAAACAAGTGGCTGCTGGAAGAGAGTGGGTGAGTTGTGTTTAGTCTCTTTGCTAAAGTTAAAAAGATGTTTGGTGGCTAGTACTATGGCTGGGACCCTATATGTACTGTTGATGAAGTTAGGTGCTGTTCTGAGCATTATTTGTGGCTATAGAGTGGTGTTTTGGTTGAGGTTTGTTTATGGCTCCTCAGACCGCTGTGTATTGCTATCCTGCGGTCGTTACTAAAGTTGGTATAACTAGAGAAGCAAGCGGTCGGCAACATTCATCTCTCGAGGGGGTGTCTAGCTTGGTGTTACAGTGTGTTTGACCCTAAATTAATTTTACACTGGAATATCCCTTTAAGCTAGATATATGTAAACAGATCCAATCCTGTTTAATCAGGAAGTAAACTTTCTGTGAGATACAGTACATCTTGAAAAATGAGTGTCATCTCCAGAAAACGACTTCACCTACGAGCCGACTGCAAATATAAAGGCATGAAAAATGTCAAGTCGAGCCGTATCAGGTCATTTCCTTTTTGACATGAGCTATATTAGGCTTTTCGTCTTGAAGAGGACTTCTGTTCTACATCTCCACCCAGATCTTATGCTGCTTTTAGATGTGGTTTATATCAGTGGTTTGGGGTGTATCATTCAAGTGGAAACACTGCTGATTTTGCAGCTGAGAACCAAATGAGAAAACTGGACTGTTGCACACAGTCAGAACAAGTTTAGTTTCTAATGTTAGAGTTGCTGCTAAAAAAAACTAGTATTTCACAGCTTTAAAAGCATTTTTTTTTTATGTAGTTGAGCTGAAAAGAAATATCTGCTGTTATGTACTGTAAAAACACTTAAATGTTTGTTCATTGCTGTCCCTGTCCTTATGGCACATGCTTAAATCTTGGTAACAGGGCTGAGGGTGAGTGCACTCAAGGGGTTTCTGCAAGCTTTATCAGCAGAACAGAATATGTGCATGAGTAACTGCCTGCTTTGCAGTAGTAAAAGCCTCTATATCGCAATATCTGTCGTGTCCTTTTCCATTTTTAGAAACAAGATCTCCTCACATCCTGTCGGTAATATTGAACATTCAGAAGTTTGAAGAGCTTTTTAATCAAAATCCTCACTCATGCCTTTGTAACTGAGCGGCTTAATTTTCTACTTTAACGGACAACAGCGATCAAACATCCCGGCCGCAGAGAAAGAAACCATGATTGAGTGTTTGCAACTGTGAATAACACACTCTGTAATCAAACCGCACAATTGTTTGGATGATTTTTTGTGTAGTGGGAACATGAGATCATCAAGAAACACCATGATTGCATACCTCACTCTAGCTCTCGTTTTATGCATTGGATGCACAACACAGCTGAGAAAACAAGTATCACAGTCCCTGCCTCAGGTGACAGGAGAGAGTTTACGCCTCTGAATGTCGATGAAGCACATCGAGAGTCCAGCAGAGAAGCAGCGCCTAAGAAAGCCTCATAGGGTGTCAGAAATCTCAGACTAATATGCCCTGACATGCTTGTTTCTAGAAGATACATTGAGCCAGAATATATATGCGCATTCAGACGTAACGGTAGAGATAATGAACATAAAAGCTGCATTTTTAACCCCAATTATATGCTGTTAAAAGAGGGTATAATTTGACAAAACAGCAGAAGTCGATAGTGCAAATAAGACAAGTTCTCCAGCACGGCAATGAGTTCGAAAAACTTAGAAATGTAGAATCCACAAACCGCACAATCATGTGTCTAAATGTTTTTGGAGTAGGGAGAGCAGAGTCAACCCCCCGCTGCACACAACATTTGTTGTCTAAAGCGTAGTTTGCATTGCTCGTCTCATTTACGATTTGAAAAACTCCACAGGGCTCTCATTAAACAGCAGCCGTCCTCCTGTTACAGCAGACCTTGACATTCAAGGAAGCCTCAGTAACAAGCGTGTGCAACATGAATGTAAGTTTGCATCCATAAAAAAAAGGAAAGTATTTTTTGTTTATAGCCTCACTGCACGGTTTATGTCGGGCAGAATGTGGTGCTTAAATGTAACAGAGGAAATATAAAGCAATGAGCAGCAGCAGGCAGGGCTGAAGTCAACGCAGTCACAGCTGAGAGAGCTGCAGCAGACATCAGAGCTGATGACACTTTTAGAGAGATGTACCGCTCTGCTACATTTGACACTGAAAAACTCAAATCTTGATGAGTTTAATGTCTTATTTCAACAAACAGCGTCTCATTATTTAAACTTAATTTCTTCTTCATTCATTCACCTGACAAGTTAAATATAAAGGCTTGTGTCAAGATACTACAAGCGAAAAATATGAAATTATCTTCTTGTAATGGATAAAATGAAATAAATCAGAAAGTGTCTCGTTGCAAGGTTCATTTTTTGTCTTACTGCAGATTATTTTTACTCAAGCACTGTAAGTCTTATATTTGGCATGCAAGTTCTTAAAATTAGACTTTTAAGACCTTATTTCACCTGCTAAGACTTGAAATTTGTCCTGTCTTGTTTCATCTGTGTGGTATTTTCTGTTCAAATTCGGGCTGCTGTGATATCAGATTTATACCTCATCATTACCATGGCCATAAAACATCATGAAGACCATATTATCACGATTTTTAAGGAAAACCTCATAACAAAACAACACAATCAATCAGTCAAATTAAGGAAAGGCAAGACAAGGGTGGAATGCGATAATTTATAATACTAATTAAATTAAAGATTTATCACCAGCACTCTGGGCAAAAGTTCTTCAGTGTCTGTAAAACGATTGTTTGCCTTGCTTTTCGGTTGCCCTATATCTCGCATTGCAAATATGCTTTTATTTTGAAGAATACCTCTTGTTGTAAGAGCAGAGGTTACAGGACTGCATCAAAACGGTTAAAAAACAATGAGAAAGTATAAATTATTTGTCTATCCTGCATTTTGAGACATGTAAAAGTACAGAAGACAAAAACAGCCATGAATTTTCTTTTTTATGTACTATTATCTCGTACAACATATTATGTTGTTATCTCGATATAACAAAGTTCGTTTTCTCATGATAACGAAACCTTTTTATTTTCTCGACATAACAAAGAATGTTTTCTTGTGACAACAGAAATGGAGTTTTAGCAACAGTAACTTTTAAAAACGCCCCCCAGGTTGCGATGTTTTGCTCATTCCCATTAAACTTTTAACATGTGAACATATTACAGCGATGGGCGAACTTTTAACAGTGTAATGTGCAAAATGGAGCGTGCCGTCAGCGTTTTCATTGAAAACCTTGGCTTGCTGTTGACAATGGTGGTGACAGCATTTCAGAAATATCCTAATCTGGAGGGCATTTTTAAAAGTTATCGTTTTAAACCATAACCATTTCTGTTACCACGAGAAAACACTCTTTGTTATGTCGAGACAACGAGATAATAAGTCGTTAACAGGAGGTAATAGTGATTTTTTTTAAAAGAAAGAAAGAAAGAAAAATCCATGGTCGTTCTCGTCTTCCATATAAAAGACCTTTTTTTAAGCGCTTCTTTTAGTGCAGTATTCATAGCCTAATTGGCAACAGTGGTGTATTTTGATAACCCGAGTTCAAACGCATAAAAGCAGAGCATCTCATCTCAATACATTTCTTTTTGGTTGGTAAACTTAATGTTTAAAAGGATCAGTTAACTACTCAAAAATGTTTAAAATCTTTAAAAACATCTCTAGAAAAATGTTCCTGTTGACAAAATGAACAGAGTGAAATAAATGAAAACATCATTGATGATTTTCACTCTGAGCAAAGTTCAAACTGGAAAGACTTTTATGGATGATAAAAGGTTTAAGAGTTACAGAGATGCACTTTAGACTGATAGTGTTGTAAGTGGCTTTTTAGACCCTCAGACATAGACCTGCGCTTAAGTGACTTCTAAATTACACTGCTCGGCTCTGTAATGGGAAAAGCAGCGCAAAAACCAGTGCTCATCTTGGAGATATACGCTGCATCA